CGTCAAATAGGTTAAAAAAATATCCATAGTTCTTGGAAATGCGATACGAAAGTCAATACAACGGTTCCAATAATGTTATCATAAATGTTTCAAATCCATACCGTTTTATTCAAAACGGAAATCGGGGTCGTAACTGATGCGTGTACACGTATTTAAAAATGTTATGTTTACATATTTAACGCGCGTTAACGGGTCGTCAGGTATTGCGATGTCTTCTCGTTCGTTGTCTTAAATATGCATCCAACACTAATATTTTATAGAATTAATCAACACAATACTTTTGCAACAACACCATACACAACTATTAAACAATCATCGGGATTGTTCCAGGCTATCACAATAATTCCTTGGCGTTTTCTATTTCTTTTTGTTGAAAAATGAATGCTATGTACCCATGCCGGTGACGGACGTTGAAACATAATGGAAAAAAGTGGGTCATAAGACCATCTGACTTTGGTGATTAATTAGCTCTGGGGCTGGTTTCCGTTCGATTTAATCAATAATTGTATTCCGTCTAATAATGGTGAAAATAAATGTATTTAAAATTGCATAGCGTTAAAAACGATAATAATAATCAACAGCAACACAACAAATCAACATATACATTTTAACGTGTTATTGAAATTCATGATGTTAGTGTGACGTTACTGTCAAAGCTACAACAGGAATTTCATTTATAAATGTAATATATGTTTCTAGTTACATGAACATTTTCATTTTAATATGATAAAAATTTCGAATTTAATTTTGTAAATTTAAAATTTTTAATACAATTATTAACTTCAGTTCATTTTTTTTTATTGGTCCATAAAATCAAAACTAATAATTAAAAAAAAAATACCTTATGATTATTTTACCGATTGTATTAATTTAAAAATACCTGACACAGTACTCTAACGATAAATCCTTTTGTTATGCTATTTTATTAGAATTTTAAAAATCAAATTTTATTCTTGTCTACACATAGAATATTTATTTTTGAAAATATTGAATATATATTTATAGAATGAGCAATAAGTGGCTATGACATTGACATTCATTATGTAAACATATTACGTTCGTGCCCTTAATATGTTAGTATTAGAAACATAATTGATTTCTAGGAGTGAATAAAGAAAATTGGTAACAACTACCTTTAATAAAATAAGCAGTTAACTATGCTTTAAATGTATTACCTATGGAAAATAAATCAGAATACAGATTTCAAACAAACCGAAAAAAAAAAAAATTACAAAAAGTTAAAACGGACTTAAGAAATTAATGTTCAACATCTTCACTACAATGCAATTAGATAAGTTTGAAAAAAGTTAAATTAGCGAAAATGTTCCCAAGGTATTATCAATTATGTTTAAACAAAACATATGTATTAGGATAATTTCATTTTCAAAACTAAAGAGTAACGGAATCAAAGCGAAAGCCCTAAAAGCTTTGTCTTTAAAAGACGTGGAGTACGGTTATGCTTTTAAACAAGCGTAATAAAACTATATCTCTGAAGAAAAAAAAATTACAAGCAAGTTGACAGAGGATGTGCACGGTACCTACTTTCCCGGAATAAAAAAAATGCTTATACTTACATCGTTTGAAAAGAAATATATATTTTTTTCTCCTTTTGGAATTAACTTTAAATTACGCATTTGACTTCTTCCTGTAGCGGAAGCATAAAATACACCGAAGAAAAGCGAACAGCGAATAAGAATGATAAAAATAAAGACGAAAAAAAAAGAAGAAATAAATAAAAAACGAAGAGAGAAAAAAACTGAATTCAACGTCTACGCTCCAAGGCATATCATCAGATAAATCGGCTGGCAAGAAAAAAGAGAGGAGAAAAAAATTCCTTAACGTTCTATTTATTGGTCTGAATAGGTTTTTTTGTCTTTCATATCATTGCGTTACATACGTGAAAGATATTATATCAAAAATGAAAAAAAAACCCTGAAGAAATTCTAGAAGAAACCACCGAATAAATAAGTTGATATTATTTTTATTATTATTATAGCCATCGACGCGATGCATAATAGAATAAATCAACGCGCAGGGGATAAGAACGAAAAACGAAAAATCGATTCGTCTCGTTTCCGTAATCATAATTACATTATACGTGTGTGTTTATTATACGACGGTAAAAACAAAATTATAAGACGCCTACGTGTTGATCACGCAACAATGCTATAATATCACGTTAAACGGCTCGAATTAAAATCGTTTATTTTTTCAAAAAATTGCGGACGGCATCGATTCGATTTATCGATAATATTTATAATAAAAATAATGATAATAATTTTATAACGATGGCTGTATTACGATGTTTATTTCTGGTCCTTTACGCACGTACATTCCATCAGATCACCCCGTGAAATTTTCTCTAGCTGGTATAACAGCGGTAAGTAGTTATATACAAGCTAGTAACTACGAGGACGGCTAATCCGACTAATACCGATTATGCTAACCCATATTTGACTAAGGATAACTTTGTATCCACAGATTAGAATCGAGTCGGAAAATGTTAATAATCTAATATAATATCGATTGAATTAGAAATGTTCAGAGTCGGAGAAAAAATAATACGTTACGTAATATATATATATATATATATATATATATATATATATATATATATTCGCGTAGATAAAAATGAGTCATTCACAGTACGTCATTTTGTATGCACTAAATTGGTGATGACGTGAACGAAATAATTTTAAAAATATAAAATGAGTTTTCCTTACAAAAATGTATCAAATGCCAAAAAATATAGGTGCTTTGAACAAATACCTTTTTTATCCGTTATAGAAAACATTGTGTACTGTAAATAACGAAAACAATAAAAACATAACGTCTACGTAAGAGTTCTTTTTCAAATGTTTAAATAAAAATCGATTTCAATTCATTGTATTACATAAGTTTGGCGAATAAGTGAAAATTTGGTTGGATTATAGCAACAAATGTTAACAATTTTTATTAAAATTGCTGTTGATCAATTCATGCACTTTTAAAATGTTTGAAAAAATTTATCAGTTTTCTTTTTCGTTTTTCTTTCTTCCAAAAATAATCATATAATTACTATTATATTATTATATAATAATTTTATCCATTTACGAAAAGAAAAAAAAAATCGTTTTGGCTTATTAAACGTCGTATATGTTAAAAATGTTTGAAGTATTAAAATCCAATAAAACACTTTGTTGAATATGATCGATAAATATTAAAAACTATACTTAAATAATTAATACTACCAGAAAAAAAAAATGATATCAAAACATTAAAATATTAAAAGGTTTCGAAAACTTAATTCCTACCATCGTGTAAGAAGTGAACTTGGTTTAATTTTTTGAAAAGGAAACTTTCTGAAATAGTTAATTTTGTAAAATAATATTGGTATTTACTGTATACATCCTACTTATATAGATTAATAGTAATAGATAGTAGAAAATATCATTGATATCATTTTTATATATGTGAAAAAAATAAATATATATATAGTATATACATATATCATATATGTATTTAGTGTATTAAATTCGTGCTAATATAATTTATTCAACTATAATAAACAAAACATACTCCTTTTGAAATATGTTCTGTAAATATATTTATTTTTTATATGTTTATACTCAATTAATTTTATTTTCATTGGGAGTGTAGCAATGTAGTAGTGCTCAAAATGTGCCATGTAGACGCAAATTTATATGATTAGGTATCAATTTAAAATTGCATTTTGTTTCTATTGAAACGACGCAAAAGTATTTATTTATACATTAATTTATGAGTATTAATCATTTTGCTCATTTTAATTTTAATTTAATTTTTTTTTGTTTATTATTTGTAGAATGCATAAATTATACAAGATCTAATTGAAACATTTTCTTTGTCTTAGGGTTTGAAAATTTGATAATTATAATATCAGACGGGTACAGGAATACTTCATCAATCGGTTTATATTAAATTACCACTGTATGGAAATAATAATTTAAAAAAAACGAAATCGAAAACAGTACTACAAAGAGCTTTTATGTACTTCGGAGTGCGACAAAACTAAAATTGAATCTTTCAATATTCGTGTACATGTACAATGCATTCTCTCCAAAGGCGTGTTCCGTCGGGTTACTTCGTGGACCGTCTACCTGATGTATAAGCTGTACATAGTGAAATGCGTATTTCAGAGACTGTCACAAATGCGATTTCGTCATCGTAAAGGTCGTTCGGAATAGAAACATCTCGACATCCACGGTTTTTATTGTGCTGACGGGATAAACCGATTGGTTTCCGATCACGTACATTGCGGCTACTATAGAAACATAGTCGGTTTTCCCGTAGTACGACAAAACGCGTTTTTTTCCTATTTAATTTTGCCAAAAGTGTTGCGAGCAAAACACAACACGATTTCAGTTAATCCCCTATGACGGTTCCGAATTCAAGTCGTGTCGTTTCAAAAATTTCGATACACGCACCGAATAATTTCAAGCAGTTTGACCGCACATGGTCCATGTATAAGTTAAAAGGTGTAGTGCTAAAATATTCCGTGTATCTTATCGTAATAGTTTACCAAAACAATTGTTTCCAAATGATATAAAAACGTTTGCGGTAGCGTAAGGCGAACATGACTAGACGAATTTGTTTTATTCGTCCGCAAACCGTCAGAATCGAATGGAACCAACGAACCATCGGTTATATCGATATCGCACGTATTCGCACATTAATCGTATGAATATAAAAACTAAAAAATATTACTCTTCCGACGGAAACGCGAATCGAAAAGTAATCGAACAGAAATATTGTGCCGCGCGACCGAGCGTAAGTGTTCACGTCGTTCAAGCGCGTGAAAACTTTTAAACCCCCTCCCCCCACCGAAACCGCACCACTGCTCGACCGCGAGGTGCACACGTCCGGGTTTTCCCGGTGTTTTCCCCGACGTTTCGTCCCGTCGCGACGCGTACGGTTCCCGGAGCAAACGGGTGGCCCCATGTGTGGGTACGTCGTGGCAAGCCCCCCCCCAGTGTACTTACTCGTGCCGTTCGAGTTCTTGCTGAGTATTTTCGAACCGGACGATGGCGGTGGCTCCGCCGACGGCGTCCTGATCGCAGCGGCCGCGGACGACGAGCCGCAAAAGTTGCTGCCTCCACCGCCGTTGGCCGGAGGCGTGCCGGTTGACGGGACTTCGATGCTTTCGTTGGCTTCCATAAAACGACAAGACGACCGCGGGACGCGCACACACGGGCGCCGCGCACGGCACGGC